TTTTTGACCAATACATCGGTCTTTTGCTCGATTTCCTTCTCATCTGATTTTGAACTCTTGCCACAAATTAAATGAAAACAATTGTTCAATAAATAAGTGATTAAAAGTAGTTTAACCAAACTTTTTGACATTATCAAGTGATTGAATAATTGGGGGATTTTGACAAACACTAACTATTTAGTGAATAGTGACTAGAAAATACCTAGTTTATAAGTCACTGATGTCATAGTAATCATATGTGTAAATAGTTAGTAGCATTGCACAAATAATATTTATTTATAATGCAATCAGGTCTAATTTCTAATCACCGTATTTCGTGACAGGTTATATGTAATTTAAATCAACAAAAATAAGTGTAAATTAGTATGAATTTTAAATTTTAAACCTGGTCTTAAACAGTTATATCATTGAACCAGAAAACGAGACACATATTTAACTCTGATTTATGACGGGTGCACTAAGCTATACAGTTTCTTATAGCTATATTTATATAATAAAGCAGAGTTGAAAATGTGGTTCGTTTTATGGTTCAAGTTAAACTATAATATAGTGTACATATTATGTAATTATACTAATCATTGATTAAACTGTAAAATTTCTAAAACATATAATAAATAATGAAAAACTATGAGACTTTAGGAATTTAATTTAAAACATTGTCCATAATAATAATTTATAACATTAATAATAAATTATTATTTTCTTTTATAATTTAGTTATTTTAGAGTACAAGTAATCTTTCATAACTTTCAAAAATAAAATTAAAAGTCTGTTCTAAGTTATAATTGAATATAAAATACAATACTTTTCTTAACTGTTTTAACTTGATTATCGATGCATTATCGTTGAAAATGATTATGAAATGAACTTTTTATCATTAATTATTTGTTTAATTGAATAAGATTTATAGGAGTTTGTTTCAATAAGTTTATTATAATCTAACTTAAAATAACAAAAGAGTACTTCAAATATTAATATAAAAATTAATTTCGCCACTTCACAATTGTTTACCATTAACTTTCTATTACTGATGATAAAATAAATAGTTGTTTACTTTTTGCTATACTATTGGTCTGATAATACTAGATCCAGCCAGAACCTTCAAAAATGCCCCTTAGAGAGTCAGGTACATTTCACCATTTAGTTACTATAATATCTAACCTAGAAATTATCAATATAACAAATTCTGAGAATAATTACAAATGTTATATAAACTACTTAATATAAGAGTAACTAGACACTTATAAAAGTAAATTCATATTACTTTTATTTTATATCATAAAACAAAAATTAATTATGAATTTCTTAACACTAATTACTGTATTTTCAAACATCTATTTCCTGAGTGCTATCGGTATGTGATGTTTGGGTTAAACATTATTTATAAAATTTAATAAATTATATTTTGCAAAACAATAGTTGTGCCGACACTCAAACTCAACTCGGGCTATGAGGTACCGGTGCTGGGTTTGGGCACTTACAACGACACCAGCGAAGTGATGGTACAGACAGTACAGGACGCCATCGCCGCCGGCTATCGACACATAGACACCGCTGAGCTGTACGGCAATGAGGCAGACATTGGCAAAGGGCTGGCCATCGCCATAAAGGCCGGACATGTCAAGCGTGAAGAGGTGTTCATCACCTCAAAGATAAAGCCCACGGGAAGGGACCGCAAGACGGCCTTAGAGGCCGTCCAGACAGCGCTCAAGAAGTTGGACACCCCTTACGTGGACCTAATGCTCGTCCACTGGCCGGAGGGCAATGTGTCCGACATATACGCCGGTCTGGAGGACGCCTTGAGCCAGAAGTTGGTCCACTCGATAGGTGTGTCCAACTTTGAGGTGAAAAACCTGAACGACTTGCTGAAGACGGCGAAAGTGAAGCCCGCGATGAATCAGATAGAGATCCATCCAAACATGAATCAGGATGAGACGGTCGACCTCTGCAAGAAGGAGGGCATTGTGGTCACCGGCTTCTCACCGCTGGGCACCGGCACTCTGTTAAAGGAGTCCCATTTGGTGGCGATAGCCACGGCTCATAAGAAGTCGTCGGCACAGGTGTGCCTCAGATGGCAAATACAGAGGGGGTTAGTGACGATCCCGAAGACCACACATAAGGATAGGTTGACTGAAAATAT